AGCTCAGGCCCGCCTGCCGCCTGCCATCAGTTTCCTGAAACAATGCAGGTAGGTTTGCAAAGTCCAGTCCCTCTGGCAGAGAATCATTGAACCCTTTACAAAGCTAAGCCCTCTTGGAAACCAGCAGTTAGCGTAATGGCTATGTCGCTGGACTCCCACGTAGTCGACCGTGGTTCGCATCCTGGACCCGGTGGCTTAAAACTCACGCCGGACGTGTGTGCGTGCGTGCCCAAGATCCCGAGAGGAGAAGGGATTGTGGCGTGGCCATCCCCCCTAGGGGGTGACTTCTCACTTTCTGTCTCTCTGTGTCTCTCTGTCTGGCGAGTGCATGTGCCCTATAGCGAAAACCTGTCCAAAAAAAAAAGCTAAGCCCTCTCTGGTCCTGGTACTGAAACTACCCTACATACCAAACTAAATCCTGTCAAAAGTGGGCCCAATTGTCTTGGAGTGATAAAAGGCTGCAGTACACAGGCCCTGGCCCCACCCACTTCTATACCGATCTTTGACCGCATCACTCCTTCAGGCTTTCCAGGTTTCAAAAAAATTTGGACCATAGAGTACATATGGTCACGGGTAAAACTGAGAGACAGAGAGACACAGAGAGAAGCCCCTTCCAGCGTCTGGCCACGCTGTGGTCTCCTTCCTCCAGTCTTCCAGGCCTGGCATGCTTCAGGATGACCAGACTGGGGATCTGAACCACAGCTGCCACGTGGGGTGTGACTCCTTTGGACCAGTGCCTTGCTGCTGCACCAGGGAGCTGGCCCAGTACTTTCTGTGCTATAAAATCTTCCAGTCCGATGTTGGCCCCGCTGAGGCCCTGGACGTGAGCCTGTGTTGTGTTGTGTTGGGTGGGCAGCTCACGTACCCAGCCCACCTTGTGGAAGCAGCGGCTCTGCATGTACATGGTACCACTGGCTGAGGGATGCTCCCACCGGGAAAGGCACAGTGAAGACCAGGGCAGGGGACCGGTGCATGACTGGGAGCCCAGCAACCCCCCTGGCCCAGCCACGGTGGCAGTAAAACGGTCAAGAGGACAAAAGAGGCATCGGGGAGATCACCACCCCTCTAAAGAGCCAGCAGGAACAGACGTGTTTGAAAACCAGCAGGCTGTGTAGACTGCCCTCCCTTCAGGCCCACTAGTCCTGAAGAGATTTTGCAATGAGTGTCAGCCACTGATAGTTTATGCAGACTGGAGCCTGTGGCCAAAGATGTGGCCACAAAACCACGGCTCCCTGAGCATACAGACCCAGCATGTGCCTGACAGCACCACCACGTATACCCTGTTCAAGAGGCAATGACGCCCTCTTCGGGTGTCAGCTGGACACAGGCGGCATAGTGGTTCAGGCGCTGGACTCCCACATGCCAGACCACGGTTTGAGTCCTAGACCTGGCGGCTTGCTAAACTTTCCCTCTCTCTGTGCGTGTCTTTGTTTGGTCAAATTAAAATAAAATAATGAATAACATTAAATCATTACTTGAGGGAAAAATAAAAAGGTAATCTGATCTCTGGTCCCCAGGTAAGAACCACGACATAGGGACATACCATCACACAGGACGACGTAGGGACATACCATCACAGACGACATAGGGACATACCGTCACAGATGACATAGGGACATACCGTCACAGACAACATAGGGACATACCGTCACCAGGACGACATAGGGACATACCGTCACACAGGGTCAGTGTGCTCATACCCTCACACATGACATAGGGACATACCGTCACAGACGACATAGGGACATACCGTCACCAGGACGACATAGGGACATACCGTCACACAGGGTCAGTGTGCTCATTCCCCACTGCTTTCTCGGGAAGGAAGGAATCCACATGGAGGCGGGTCTTGCCTTGGGCTAGCCATGTGGAAGCTCTTTACAATGGTTTCTGTATTCAGTCTTTTCATACTTTCAGCTTATAGGGAAACATAGCCAGTTTAATACTAAGGATTTAGGGTATTTTAGGCCAGCAGTGGCATGATGGCTAAGGCACTAGATCCCACATGGCCAACCGCTTGGTTCAAGTCCCAGACCCAGTGGCTTGAAAAGCATGCTGGGTGCCTGGGTGTGTGCCCACAATTCCAAGAGAAGGATGGAGAAGGGATTGCGGTGTGGCCATTCTCCTTGAGGAGGTGATTTCTCGCTTTCTGTCTCTTATGAGCGCATGCACTCTATAACCACACACAGAAATAAAAATACATAAATGAGGATGTTCGAAAACAACGGTAACTTTTACAGAAGCCTGGAATGATTAAAGTCCTAAAATGCAGCTAAAACTCCCTATATCATACTGACAAATGAACCACACTACCTTCATAGTATCCGTAGTCTGGTCTTGGACACTGGACTTTCCAACTTTCTGTTACGAATATTTTCAAACATTTGCAAAAGTAGACCAGAGTTAAACTCTGATGCAGCCGTCACTCCCTCTCCGCAGTGATCAGTCTTGTCTGACATTATGCCAGGTAACCCACCGACTCAATCCTGTGTCAGTCCTGGAAACAGCTGTATGGCTGAGTGGCAGCGGCCTCATCTTAGACAGGTCAGCTGCTTTAGGGGGATGACGTGGCCTGCTCGGTCACACATGGACGACCCAGCGATACGGCCAGGAATTAAACCGGGTTTTTCTGACTCTCCAACTAGGAATTTTTTGTGATGCCTTCTTTACTTCTTTTGACTGTTCCCCACCCCCCGCCACCCCTCTGTGAAAAGCACTAAATGAAAAAAAAAAAAAGTATTTCCCAACTCTTGGGTGAAAAGCCCCACAGAGGATTCGCCCTGTTGTCCTGATGTGTATTTCTGCTACCCCCAAACCTTTTTTTTGGAGAGGTTTTTGCTCTAGGGCTTGTGCGCTCGCCAGACAGAGAGACAGAAAGCGAGAAATCATCCCCTGGGGGGGTGGCCACGCCGCAATCCCTTCTCCTCCGTTCTCCTCTTGGGATCTTGGGCACGTATGCACACGCGCCCAGCTAGAGTTTAAGCCACCAGGTCCAGGCCTCAAACCGTGGTCAACTACATGGGAGTCCAGCAACATAGCTATTATGTCAACTGCTGGTCCCATCCCCAAACCTTTTCTAAGTCAGAATTTTCTTTCATTAAAATTATTTTTAGTTTGCTATAGGGCATGTGTGCTTGCCAGAGACTGAGAGACAGAAAGTGAGAAAGCACCCCTTGGGGCTACCCATGCTCAATCTCTCCTCCTCCATCCCCTCCTGGGATTCTGATCATGTGTGCACACGCACCTAGCATGCTTTTCAAGCTATCAGGTGTTGGACTTTGAACTGTGTAGTCTGCTATGTGGGACAGCAGACCATATCACCTGTGGCCTTGGGATGGAAGAATCCGAAGTGATGTCAAAGACCAGGGTATGGGGCAAGCTCTGTGGCCTAGCACTTAGAGCCGGGTCCCACGTGGCCAACCACATGGCTGAAATCCTGACCCCAGTGACTTGAAAAATGTGCTGGGTGTGTGTGTGCCCTAAGTCTGCCAGAGGTGTCGAGCCAGGATGAGCTAAAGAGGAGAATGCAGTTGAAAAGATGTTGAAAGATGAGATACCAAAACAGTTTGAGTCAAAGGGGAGAAAACTCAGTGGAGAAAAGTAAAAGATGCAGTAGAGGTTAGGGAACCCCCCGAGCAAGAAGCTGGGACTCAAAGCCACTGTCTTGCCAGGAGCAGGGCCCCCTCTGCTGTGAGAGGAAAGTGGGAGAAGGTGGGTGCACATGCAGGTACCGGGTCCTACGGCGGTCTCTAAGATGCCTAGACCTTCGCTCAGACCAACGGTCCTGCCATGATCTTTATCAGACCAGCCTCCATACAAGGGCACCTCCCCAACAGCCTTCTGAGGCTCCTCCCAACTCTGTGAGTGTGGCAGGCTGCCGTGGCAACAACCCCAGGATCCTCGGCTCCGCATCCCCCCACTGGTGCATCCCTCTCCTGTATGGGCTCCAGGCTTGGCCACGGGCCCTGGTTTGGACTGAGACGTTAGTAAACAGGACACGAGTGGAAACTTCCTAAGCTAGGCGAGGGCCTGGCCCCTTGGGACCCTGAAACGACTGTGCTGTGAAGCTCAGATGAAAGCCCACATGGATGCACCTGCTTATGCAGCGGTGTGAGTGAGTCCGGGTGAAACCAACAGACCCACCAGCCAACCCTCAGACACACGAGAAAAAATCTGTCTGGGGACGGGAAGTTCTGAGCAGAGGCGCAATTCAGCAATAGATTACTGGCAGGCTCGGCTTTGCGGAGTCAGCGCTACCAGGAGTGTCCTTGTGCAAGTCAGGAAGACGGGCATCATCCACACAGGCCCCCACCGGGCACACACCTCTGTGCAGGGACGAGGTGCTTCCTCCTCCGGTCGCAGCCGCGTGCCAGGGTGCACACGAGGCTCTGTGGCAGGCACCTTGATGCAAGGCGTAAGCTGCGTGCCTGCCCCCGGGAGAGCCCTACACAACTCTCCTTCCCTTAGCGCAGAGCACAGACTGCCTCAGAGCAGGTTCACTCACTCCATCTGAGGACAGAGAAAGCTCCCACTGGTGCTCCGAGTCTTGAGGCT